TAACAGCTGCCTTGGTCTCACCACAAGAATGTGCTCCACTTCTCCACTCTGAACCAGCCTCTAATTTCCATGTACCTTTACTCTAATATGTAACCATATCAATTTCCATTTCTAAACTTTCTGACAAATCTAGTGGGTGCAATGTCTGCAAACCATACGTAACCTTCCCTCGAATAGAGATATTTAGAGGGGCAGTTACTCAATATCCTCACACAGTGAATGGAATAAAACTCAGGATGGAATGTGCCTGAAGCCCTGGTTCCATGGGTCTACAAATGTCACCACATAGGTCCTGCCCACTAGGACAGAAGGTTAGTTTGTTCTTGTAAACAGTGGCTAAAGCCTGAACTTTGGCCAGTAAACTTTGGAGTCTCTTGGGCTGTTCAAAAAATTGCTTTTTCTGTCTTTTTTTTTAATCATTAAGGTTGCTACATTAATGTTTCCATGCAATTGAAAGTCACAATTTGTGTTCTACATCTGCTTATAAGGAGTTCTGCAAAAGCACAAACCAAGTCTTGAGCTCACTGTATCCCAAACTCAGTCTTAAACATGCCCAGGGTCAAGCAGCCATTCGGAACACTCACTGGCTGCTGGTTTAACTTGACCAGTGAAGACAGAGTTGTACATGTGATAAGCATCCATGAGCAATTTTCCATCCTATGATCTCCCCCACTTCTCTCATTACATGGCAATGAGTACTCGCAGGGTTAGAGGAATAGGGTAGAGGTAAATGGGTTGGCAGAGCTGTCTTACTTCACTGCTGACCAATTAAAGAGGCTAAAAACACTCAGGCCATTAGGCTTACTAGTCTCTTTAGTCCAGTGATCTACCCACTACATCTATAACTCAAATGCTGGTGATTATAATGTCCCTTCTTTGCCCTCTCCACACAAATCTAAATCTCAAAGCAATACTATTTGGCACACACATCCTTTGGTAATCTGCTTAGCTTAATAAGGAAAAGGGGTGTTGCAGAAATTCAAATATGGATGTCCTCCAAATGTCTCAGCCACCCTGCAAATGAAGCCATTTGTGATAGAGAAACATATTTGTGGCCCCTCACCAGATACATGCAGTTGTTCCTTAATTGCTAAATTTAAAGTGACAGTTACAACACTCTACACCAGCCCAGAGATGGCTCTTTGGCTCATACTCAGTGTCACTTAAAACTATAAATACTCTTGGGAAACATCACATTACAAGTGTGACCGCAAGAACTGGGAAGAGAGATATCATTGATAATCCTTTTATTAAATAGGAAAACTTTCATAGTCATATCTTTACATATTGACTCATTTAAAATCACAATGTACGCCGGGCGGTGGTGGCGCACGCCTTTAATCCCAGCACTCGGGAGGCTGAGGCAGGCGGATCTTTGTGAGTTCGAGGCCAGCCTGGGCTACCAAGTGAGTTCCAGGAAAGGCGCAAAGCTACACAGAGAAACCCTGTCTCGAAAAAACCAAAAAAACAAAAAAAAAAAAAAAAAAAAAATCACAATGTACATTTCAAGTATAGCTATTTCTAATGTCCTTTTTTGTCCACACACTTGAAATGACTATCTAACTTACTCTTGTGTGGAGGCTATTTTGTTTTTTAAAAGAACCTTCCATGTTTGTACTTTTGAGGCATTAAATCCCCACCCCACCCCCATGTCTTTTTAAAAAATGAGCTGTTAGGTGCAACTAGTCCAGTCATAATCTATATACATATCTGTGTGGTGGTATTCTAATTGTACTGAAATGTGATTTTGATTGTATGTTAATAAATAAAGTTGCCCAGGGGTCGGAGCTATTAGAGCCATAGCAAGAGTGTGGCAGTGGTGGCACACGCCTTTAATCCCAGCACTTGGTAGAAGAGCAAGGTAGATCTCTGTGTGTTCAGGGATACAGCCAGCATTGGAGACATATGCCTTTAAGACTTGGGGGCTGTACATACAGACAATGATGAGGCAATCATGTGTTTGGGTTTACAACCAATGAGAAGGTAGAACAAAAAGACTATGAAAAGACATACACACAGGAAGTAGTTCTCTTTCGGGAAGCTAGGACCACCACAGGAGGAAGGGTGAGATTTTAGCTCTTAGCTCTGACCTCTTGGCTTTCTCTTTTACATTGGTTCTGTGTTTCTTATTTTAATAAGACGGTTGGTTACATCTACATATCTGGGTCATCAGAAAGGAATAAAATGAAGGCTGGAGAGATGGGTCAGTGGTTAACCCTATGCACTGCTCTTCAAGAGGACCAGAGTTCAGTTCCCAGCACATACAGGAGTTCACAACTCCTTGTAACTCCAGCTGGAGGGAATCTCTCTCTCTCTCTCTCTCTCTCTCTCTCTCTCTCTCTCTCTCTCTCTCTCTCTCTCTCACACACACACACACACACACACACACACTCACTCACAGAATTAGTAATAAATAATAATAATTTTTAAAGAAAAATAAAATGGATTCTAGAATGTTATCAAAACACAGGATTAAAATGAGACCTTTGGTGCTTCCTCATTAATTGCCTCAGTTTATTGTTGGAAAACACTGCCTAGGAGATCAAGCTGCCACATAGTTTATGGATATCAAAGCTAGATTGGAACTCAGGTTCCCCCACCTAACAGTTTTACATGCCTTTTACTACTGGGTCTAGTCAGCAAAGGTCCATTGACTTTTTCAGTACCAAATGTAAGTTTAGGAATCTATATGAGTCGATTTAGATAGTGGTAGTATATTTTATCAGCTAGTATCAAACGTAATTTGGAAAATATAGGTGAGGTCATTTAGCATTGAGGAAAATGCAATTCTCATTGTCACACAAGTGACCCTGGAGGCATTTAATTCCACAATGTTATTGTCATAATAAAATATTGTATATTGAAATCACTTTGCTTTAATGCACAAATTAGCACCTACTTCTGAATAGCCACCAATGATGTTAATATCCCGATTCTCTAATGCTTAAATGTTATGTGCATTTGATAGTGTGTATTAAATTAATTAGAACAGAAGTGATAGGCAGGAATACCAACTGGATCCTCTTATTTATACCCAACTCCCTCATCCCAATGCTTGTACCCTTGACTATCACTATGCTCTTTTTTAAAAGCCCTTGCACTAGTCTTTATTTTTTAGAATAAAGGAACTTCTAACTTCTCTTTCATGTGTTGTTCCCAACAGCCCAAACCCACATTCCCACATGGCATCATGAATGGAGCTGACTAACTACTGATAACTTCAGACTCCAAAAGCATCTCCTCTTGGCTCCAGTGCCTGTCCTCGGCCCCATTTTCATTCAAGTTTGCAACATCTCTCAACTGAACTTATAAGCACTTAGGAAAAGCTGTAACACTCCTGGAGAAAGTTATCCTGCTGGCCACTGAATTGTTGGCATGCAGACTGGTCTTCTGTCAACCCTCTGAGTGGCAGGGATGAGAGGTTGGGGTTGTCAACATTTTCCGAGTTTTAACCAAAGGGAGTGAAGGGAATGAGGAGATGGGATCTAGGATTACTAGGGATGGTGAGAAGTATAATTCACTGAAACTCATGTTCAGGGAGGACAAGAACAGATGAGGATAGCGGCTGAAGAGTGAGACCAAAGAATTTCCCGGCAGTGGAGGACCGGGTTGGTGTGGGGAGTGGGGATGGAGGGTGCTTTCTCCCTTAGCTCGCTAGCCCACTCCTGTTCCCAGGAGTTCCTTCTCGTTTGTAATAAATGTTCTCTTCCTCTTTCTACCCATGTGTCCCTGTCACAGTTCATTGTCATGGGGTACAGAAATCTAGATACTTCCGTGATATGTCTTTCTGCATGCTGTGAATATGTGTTGCTCTGATTGGTTGATAAATAAAGCTCTGTTGGCCTATGGTAAGGCAGCTTAGAGGCAGGCAGGAAATTCAAGCCAATAGACAGGAAGACGAAAGGAGAGTTGTAGGAGACACCAGTCACAGCCAGGAGGAGGAAGATGTGAAAGTATCGGTGAACCATAGCCACATGGCAACTTATAGATAAATAGAGGGGCTAACTAGGAAGAAGCCTGAGCCATTAGGTCATAAAGTTTGTAAATGATATTAAGCTTCTGAGTGATAATTTTATAAGCAGCTGTGGGACTGCGGGTGAGAGACATTTGTCCTGACTGCGGCAGGCAGGACACAGGCAAACTTCCAGCTCCATACTTCAACAAGTTCCTCCGGGTCACCGCAGCCTTTGCTTATAACAGGAGGAAGTGTGTTGCGGGATGGAACACAGGAGACAGCTGTAAGCTGGACCTCAAATAGCCTGGATAACTTGTAACTAGGACACAGGCAAGCGACCCTACCTAGTTTCCAGACAGGAAGGAAATACAATTCAGGTCCAGAAACAGCCTAGACAGGAAAAAAAGAGAGAAACCTTGCTGGGTGACTCCTCAGCTCTGCCTGTGGACATGCAGTGAGAGATTGGACAGCTGAGAACAGAGCGCCCTGGAATACTGGATTTCAAAGGGTAGTAAGAAAAGTAGAGGGGAAAACTGATGGAAGAACCTGTAAGGAGAGAGATATTCTAACGTGAAACTTTCTCCTACCATCTGTTGCTGTGGATAATGCTGTGGTTGACAGCTAAGTACTTAATTGCTTTGAATTGCCAATTCCTGACTGTAAATTAGAGACTCTTTCTCCCCTCCTGTACCTCAACTTCCTAGTCTGCAAAATGGGTAATAAAATAATACTTGGTAAGGCTGTGGAAAATAAATAAAATATTTGTCAGGAATAGAGTAGATGCTCTAAATGTCAGATACGATTGAAATGGCTAGACTTGGTACCAGGCACTAGCATTTAAAAAGTCAGTGCTCTAGCAATTACCACAGTCTTAGACAGTTCTTCCTACAGGGCTGCAGAGTCAGAGAGAAGCTGAGAGAACCTTACTAAGTTCCAGTGATAGATGAGAGAATATTAAATTATAACAAACATATTCCTTTTGGTCAGGGTGGAGCTGTGAATCAACGTGGCAAAATGTAATAAGCACCGGAAACAGTAAACAAACCTTGTAGACATGCAGCTCTACAGCTCTGCTGTGTGCAATATGAAGATCTTCCCTCAGAGCAGTAGGAGAAATGATCTAATCAAGAGAGAAATCTGTTGATACAACATGAATAGTGGGAGATGGTATGCAAATGAAATGACTGCTTTGGAACTGTAATTCAATGGTGTAGCACCAGCTTATGGGGTGCAAGCCTCTACAGTCAATCCCCAGCACCAGAAAGGAAAGAAAAGTAAATTAGTGTTCAAAATAAATAGTTGTTAACATACTTGCATTTAAAAGAATGAGAATATCACCAAGCAGTCAACCAAAACATCTGTAATAGAAGCAACAGACAGAACTAAGAGGAGAATCAGTATAATTAAAAGCATAAACCCAGTGAGTGAGTCCAAGGGTTTGCTTTGGAGAAGGCCAATATATTAAACTATCTCTTTTCAGAGCCAATTTATTTAAAAGAAGACCAAATATACAAGAAAAAGGGCATACAATTACATAATTGATGGTGTTTTTATTTCAAATGATAACATCCTCTAGAGCTCTATATCCCTAAATGAGAAAAATGCTAATAAGTGAGATGTTTTGAAGAAGAATTCCATTAAATACATGGCAAAGTAAACAATTGAGTCTCAGTCTAAACACTGAATTGGTGCATACTGAATCAATGCCACTCCAGGAAAATTGCAGGACTCCCATGAGCCTCTGGCCACACCACTAACTAATCAACTAACCAATCAAGACATAGCCTTACTTAGTGCGTGTCTCTGTGCAAGGTGCCTTATTTAACATAAGCTGTTGTTTCCTCAACATCAAACTCATGATGCCAACATGAGTATGAAGGAAATTCCTCTAATATGCACATTTTTTTCTATAAGATTCATCATCTTGTACTTCAGACAGCATTTCATTGCTGCATTTGGAACAACCTTGAGCATCAGAATTAGCAACAAAAATGTTGCCATTAAGTACACTGCAAAAAAAAAAAGGAACAAATGTTTATACTATGAGAGCTGAAATAAATACAGAACAGTACCTTGTTGGGCCTCACCCATGGAAGTGCTGTGAATATTGATTTTGCATCTGGGGAAGCAGATGAGTTAAGAATTACAGAACCCACAAGGGATGAAGATTTGCAGGAAAAGCATTGAGACTGACTGACACATGGCAGATGACATGGAAAAGTGGTCTGCTATTTTCTAGCTCTACCTCAACCTCAGGTTTAATGAACAAACTCAAATCCTTCCAAAACATGTAACCTCAGTCCTATCTGAAAAACCATTAAAGGTCTAGAGAGATGGCTCAGTGGTTGACACTGCCTTCTCCAGAGGACCAGGGTTCAATTCCTAGCACCCATTTGGCAGCTCACAATCAGCTGAAATTCCAATCCCAGTAAACATGATGCTTTTCTAGCTCTCTTGGGAATTACACATACATGGTACACAGACATATAAGAGGGAAAATATCCATATGCACATAAAATAAAAATAAAACTTTTTTAAAGGAAAAAAATAAAATTCATTTTTAGAAATAAGCATAAATGAATACTCAAACTATATAAGGTATATAGAAACAGTAATAACTTGAATGAGAAAATTCTAATATAAACATATAAACATCACAAGTCCAAAAACACAGCAAAATGAGATTTGTAAAAGTGGTTAAAATGTAAGAAATATTTTTTCATTAGGTCTTTTTGATGGGTGTGTAGCATGTTTGTGTGTAAATATTTGAGTGGGCAAGTGTGAGCTGAGTGTGAGTGTGTGAGTGTGAGCATGTGAGTCCAGGTACATGAGTTTCATGGTGCATGTATGGAGTCAGAGGACAACCTTGAGTGTCAGCCCTAGTCTTGCATCTTATTTGAAGCAGAGTCTCGTGTTAGTCACTGCTGCATTGGTGGGGCTGACAGAAGAGCTTCTGGTAATTCTTCTGCCTCCTGTAGTTGGTGTGTTTCCCTTGCCGGGGGGGGGGGGCTGCTACCCAGCTCTCAAATAAGTCACACACACAGAGGCTTATTCTTATTATAAATGTCTGGCCTTAGCTTGGCTTGTTTCTTGTCAGCTTTTCTTAACTTTAAATTATCCCATCTATCTTTTGCTTCTGGGCTTTTTCTTTCCTATTTCTATATACCTTTTTTCTTCTTACTCCATGGCTTGCTGTGTAGCTGGGTGACTAGCCCTGGAGTCTTCCTCCTTCTCTGGTTGCATCTTTTTTCCTTCCAGATTTCTCCATATATATGTATGTATATATGTATATATATTCTCTCTGCCTGCCAGCCCCACCAATCCTTTCTCCTGCCTTGCTATTGGTCATTCAGTTCTTTATTAGACCATCAGTTGTTTTAGATAGGCACAGTAACACAGCTTCACAGAATTAAAGAAATGCAACATAAACAAAAGTAACACACCTTAAAATAATATTCCCCAACAGCCTCCTGCTCCCTCTCATTGTAGGTACACAAGGATTATAGATGTATACCACCACATCCAGCTTTTCATGCACTCTAATCCTCACACCTGACAGGTACTTTCATTTATAAAATCTATTAGTGAATAAGTCAAAAGATAGGAAATCAAATGAATACCCACAGATAAGAAAATAGTACCTACATACTAATGTTCAGAACCCATCCAGAGTAAAAACAAAAGAACAAAACCTCCCTAAATAGTAATGAAAACTCTTTGGATACATAAACACTATCTTTGGCAAGCCAGTAAGCCTAGAGCTGTTTCCATTACATTCTGGACTGGGACAGAATTACCAGAACAATTTACAGTTACTTGAACTTGTTTGTGAATATGAGACAATAAGATTCAGTAAGTGCAGTTTGCTCTGGCTGCAGTCCATCCTGCAAGTGCAGCAGTTCTGTGGTCATTGGCTGGTTATAGGCATTGTTTATGTGTTAAGGGCCTTCTCAGATTTTGTTTTGTCTGGACTAGATTCTATCAGAGCCATATGTCCCTTTACTTTTTGACCAAGTGTACCTACTGTTCAGTGAGAGAGGATCTATCAGTTTGCCCTAAGAGATGAAGCTCAGTAGTGGAGCACTTGCCTAGCAGACTCAAGGTCCTGGGTTTGATACAAAGAGCCAGCATCCTGAAGCATGCAGAACAGCATTGGTCATGATTCTGGCCATTATCCAGCATTCTAGGAATTGGGAGTGGCAGCTGATGCTGTCCCTGAGTGGCAGAACTGACAGTCCCAACGACTGCCAAAAGACATTGCTTGAGCCTATACTTTGTCCCAGTAGAGGTTATGTTTGAAGATTTACAATCTCAGAGATCCTCCCATTTGCCCATTGAATTGTTATTTCAGTTCGTATCTTCTAAGTTGTGTGTGATGGGAACTAAAATGGTTAGGGGTAGAGATCTTTGCCCAAAGGTTTTTGAGTTTTCCCGTGAAACAATGCTTTAGCCTGTCTTGGTCTTGGGGTTCTTTGTCTATAGTGAGAACCAGTCATCTTTCAGACTTGCAGAGTTGGTAGGAACAAGACTTGTGACATGCTAAGGCTGTAGGAGGCATGGGCAGCCCCAGTCCATTCCTTCCTTGGAATATGGGGACCTTATATTTGGGCATGCCATAGGTCTTTGTCCACGGCCACATGCCCATGCCCTGTATGTCCCACACCACATTGACAGGTTTCTTCTCCTACATCAGATGTAGCAAGAAGCAACAGCAAATGGAATAAATATAGCCCCAGTTTGGAGGACAGTAGTAGACCAATTCTAAAAACTTAACCATAAAGGAATGTGGGAAAGGAAAAAAGGGAAGAAGGAAAATTGCTACATGAGTTGGGGACAGAGAAGAGAGACGTGGTATTCCACTGGTAAAAAGAAGAGACCATTGCCTTTCTAGTTTTATTATTTACCACCGTGCCACTGGTTAAGAATTTTAAACTTCTTAAGGCTAATACAGGAGAGGAGGATAGCAATCAGTAATGAATTGTGTATGTATGAAATTGTCAAAGAATAAATTCAATTAATAAAAAATATTTTAATTATATTGAAATGTCTTACGCTGCCCAGTGCACATGCCACTGTATTTCCTTCACAGCAGGTCTCATGCAGCTTTTTAATACCTGTGGTCAATTTGGCAATTTCAGAAAAATTAGCTTTAGGTTGCTTTTTAGTGAGCAGAATCAATTCTCTGTAAAGAAATTAGACACATTTAAACAGCATTTTTTAGAAGGAGAATAGCATTTCGTTTTTAGTAATTATTCTATTTTTGAGATTAGAATATAATTATACCATTCCTTCCTTCTCTTTCCTCAGTATTTTGAATTTCTACTTCGAGTAACCCAAAGTGTCTAAACACATTAGCAAGTATTAAGATGTGTTTTCTACTTCTTTGGTTGTAATGCACAGACCCACACAGAGATCAAATCTCAATAATGCCACACATGGTAATTTTCATCATTTAAGGTTCTGCTAAAGATGCTGAATTGCTGAGACATTGAGACATACAACGTGATAACCTTAGAAATCCGAGCAGCCTCTTTGTGACACTAACCTCATTACAAAGACAAATGTTTGATGCATGGGGCTTCTTTGTGACTATTGACACGACTCTGGAGTTTCTCTGGAAATAAAACATTCCTGACCTCCAGGAAGCCCAGTGCTGTCACTCATTGAAGAAGAAGGTGATAAGAAAAAAAAAAAAAATACCTGGGTCCAAGCTGGAGAGGATACACTAAAGCCTCCCCCATCCTTTGGTTCCAAGAGAAAAGAAGATATTTTTGTCTCTAGCCTTTTCAATAGAGGAATATTTAGTTAATGTCTGTATTATCACCACCACCACCACCATCATCATCATCAGTATATACCCAGCTGGCTTTGTACACACAATGTATCCCAGGATGACCTTGAACTCCTTATCCTTCTGCATCTACCTCTCAAATGATGGAATTATAGGCAATATGCCACAATGCCCAGCCAAGTCCTTACATATATTTTTAAGTTTTACTTCTATTTGTAATGATATGTACAGGTGTGTCTCTGAGAATGTGTGTATGTGAGTGCAGCTACCCAAGGAATCCAGAAGAGGGCAGCAGGTCCCCGAGAGCTGAGTTACAGGTCATTGTGAGCCATTCAATGTGGCTACTGGGATCTTGAGCCCTCTGCAAGGGCAGTAAATATTTTATCTCTCCAGCTGTAAGTCCCTGCATCTTAATGACCCAAATCTATCATGCACTGAGAGTTTTGAGCAGATGAGATAAACTGATGGAGAAGATAATGGGAGCAGTTGAGGACTAAATGATTTCATACTCAGCTCCTGTGCCATTGTGCCATTTGTAAGCAGAGAAGAAGCATAGGTATAGAAAAGGATTCCGGGCTTATATGGACAAACATTGTTAAATAATGGGTAAATGACTTTTTAAAGTAGTTTAGCCAAAACAGCTGACCTAGCAGCAACAAAGCCCACAAATCCACATAGAAAACTTACACTGCTCTTGCTATTGTGTCATTGAATTTAATCCCGATTTCACATAAATGATGATGTCTCGCAGATATTTCTCTAATATGTTTTCTGATGGGTTCTAGCTGCAAACAGAAAACAACTCATCAAAGAAATGTGATAGTAACAGAAAATGTTAATGACACCATTAGGAAAAGATAGAAAACTGAACTTCATCTATCACCCCAACATTAGAAAGTCTTCAGCTGACTGACTGAAGAGAAGATAAACACACACAAAAAAATAACAGGATAGGGATTTTGCAAAAGCAGAATCTCACTTACCCAGCGATCACTTAACTCCAAAATTCATAAACAAACTCATGTCTAGAAAGCTACCAAAATAGACTCAAAAACTGCCTTCCAGATGCACTTTCTTTTATCCAAGTCATTAATCACTTTATCTTGTAAGGGTCCCAAACTGCTTAGCTGAAATAGATGCTTCAAATCTGCAATACATTTTACCTCCAAATGTTTGTTTTCTGTAACCCTACATTTCCACTTTTTAAATTATCACAAACAAATATTTCTAAATAAATAAAAACACAATTAGAGTAAAAAAAACTGTATTCATGTTTTTTTATGATGGCAAATTTTCAAGGCAAATAAGGTGGTTCAAGAGTAGAATAATTGTTAAGTAATGATATATTGTTTTGAGAACATTTATGTTTATAATGAAAATAGATGTGTTTAAATGTCTAATCAAAACTTTCTCAGAGTGAATACAATCACATATGAAACAAAAAAATCTCAGTTGGAAAAATCAGGAGAAGGAAATACATAAAATTAACATTTTTGTCTGGTAGAAATGTAAGTAAAATCTTTAAATTTCAAGCTAGCTATATATCTCCAATTAAAGTATATTGAGGGCTGAAGCGATGGCTCCGTGATTAAGAGCACTTGCTATTCTTGCTGAGGATCTGGGTTCAATTCCCAGCACCCACATGGTGCCTCGCAAACATCTATTACTCCAGTCTCAGGGGACCCGAAGACTTTTTCTGGCTTCTTCAGGCACAGCATGCATGTAATACCAGACAAACATGAGGTCAAAATATCCACATACATAAAATAAATAAATAAACAAAATTATATTAACTGTGCATTGTTTGTTTATTATAATGACATTTTCAAGAACAAATTAGAAAATGTATATAAACATGATCTTCAAACAACAAAACTGATATAATCAGAATTATTTTATTTAATAAGTGTTACTAAATAATAATAGGTTATAGTTAACTATAAATTCTTTTTATTGTTATCCTTTTTGTTATATAACATTCATTCAAAATGGAATATAAATCAGTTTGCCTATTTTCATGAAGGTCTCTGAGGCTTCATCAAGCTCTGATCACAGACACAATTAATGTGTATTATAATTGATTATGTGATTTTCTCCAAGGACAGAACAAGAGCCACTTAGAACACTGTGAACATCACAGCGGGAAACTGCTTAGCTAACTTACTGCATCTGCCTGTATTTAACACCATAGAGGCACATTGCACATTTAGGAAGATTTTCTAGTGAAGAAACTGACTGTGAAGAAAATGTTGTGACTGAAAAAAGGATGATATACAAGTTATTCACAACACCCACCTCGATGGGAAGGAAATTCTGGACAGTGAGACAGGCATCAGTGCATAGCCATTGGCTTTCAGGCCTGAATTAAAATGAAACCAAGAGGAAAGAGATAACGGAAAATTAGCTTCTGAAGGAACCAGAATCCACAAGAATAACAATGGAATGTCAGAAATATAGACAAATAGTTTTAATGAAGATAGCTGCCACCATAAGTTCTTAGCCAATGGCAGAGTCTCCAGACAAGCTATTTATTTTTTAACGTACAAGGAAGAGCCAGGTACGAGAAAGAGATGAAATTCTATGAATTTTAGAGAAAATTAGATGATTTCTTACTGAGAACAATGATGGCATCAAGACCAAAAAAAAGTTAGTCTCAAGTTATTCTTCATAATGATTATTAAACTACTGTTGGCTTTCAGCATATCATGTAGAAAATCTGCCTGGCGCCCTCTACAATGTGAGTCTGTTCATATTCAGAATTTTCTAATGTTTAGAACCTTTAATAAGCACACAAAACATCATTTTTATCTTAGAACTAATCACTGCTTTGCCTCTATCCAATGATGGTCAAAAGGCTAAAACATCTCCTACCCTGTGTTTTTCTGATAAGAAACTGATCATCATTAGCCCATCAAGAAGTAAAGTCTATATACAGTCCCTTTCTAACTAGTGTAGCCTCATGGTATTTCAAATAGGAAACATGGCAGAAAAGACTTCACAAATGGCTGCACAGCCTCCTCTTTGTCTACTAAGAGAATCCTTCTGCAGCTACATGTAAGCAATCCAATTGCCCTCTGGCCACCATGCTGTGAACAGCCCAAACTAGCTTAGGTAAGAACATTATATGCACACTATTGAGATTGTACATGAAGGGAAGAAATATTGCACCAATGCCCAGGAGCTCCAGCTCCTCCTGAATTCTAGATCCGGACATTATCTGACTGCAATTACATGAAAGTTCGTGAGCCAGAAACCCCCAGGTGATCTATTTCCTGGATTCATGACTCATAGACAGTAATGGTAATAAAATAATAATCATTGTTTTACTTCTCCAAAATTTGGGTTGTTCTGCGTAAATATTTATTTTCAAGTCTGTCCTGCTTCTCCCGTTCCAGGACTGCATACCTTTCTTTTTAAAATGAACTCTACTTACTAGGTCTGGAGAAGAGCTTCGGGTTCTGCATCTCTAACACACTGAGTGGATGGTATGCTGCTGGTCTCCTATCCACAGTTTCCACAGCACAGCCCCAAATGACAACTGAGCTATGTATACAATACCTTTGTCTGCAGACACTCTGTTTTATTGTCTTCTTGACAACAGGACGGAACAGCTGTTTCATAGCAAGCAGACACAGTCAAGACAGTGGGTCCATAGAGGATGGATGCTTTCTAAAAATTTCATAGCTGTACCTGAAATGTACAATCGCAAAGTTGTATGGTTTGGAGATCAGGCACATGTGCCGATGTCATTTCTCATGAACAGTATTTATTTGTTTGTTTGTTTGTTTGTTTGTTTATTCATTTATTTGTCTATCTGAAACTTCTGGAAATTCTGGTGATTGAGATTTGGTAGCACTTTGCCTAAAAGCATCAAATGTTCGCTGTTTCGTTTCCTGGGTGCCCATGAAGTGATAGTGGCAGGTGGGTTAAACATGATCAGAAATGAAAGATCCCCAATTTCTTCTAGAGTCGGGGAGGTAGGAAGTTTAGCAATCTAAGCTACACTGTATGTAATGCAGAATTGTTTATCTGGTTCAGCAGTTGACTTTACAAGTATTGATGATGGTCAGAAGCCTCTTAAGGTCAGCTGGAAATTCTTTCTAGACTAACAAAGTCAATATCATTGTCCTCTAATAGGGTCATTTAGTATTTTTGTTACTAAACTCCCTGGAATTACATTTCCTCACACTAGACTGTGGAACTTGTTCAAGAACAGACTCGTGCATACGTGAATATGTGCCCAACACAAATCAACACTATAGACCAAACCAGTATGTCCCCGTACATCATTTCCTTTTCCTGTGTCCTTAGGAAGACTATTTTCCCAGCCTCTGTAGCTATATGTAGCCCCTGTTGGCAGCTATGATCAATAAAATAGTAATGGACATGCTGCACCTTCCTTCCAGGCTTGGCCATTTATTTCTTTGCTAAATTCTGGATTCTCTTTCTTTTATAAACATATGTTCCTGATGATGTAGCCCAACGTAGAGGCATGTGAGATTCAGTTACTCTTGAGACAAGACTCATCAGTATTTAAAGTGAGCTGGGAAAAACTGAGCTGCCAGATGTCAAAGTAGCCAAGTAAGGCTGGAAGCCAAGATGTAAGTCACAGTTACGCCATAGGTAATGATTTACTAGAGTCATAAAGGTGATAGCTAAAGGAAGAATGTCAGGTCTTCTGTTCCGTTTTCTCCCCCAATGATCAGGCCAGTTGAGGATCATAGGAATCAACCTAGGGTTCAATAAGATGGCTCAGTGGTTAAACATGCTTACCATGCGACTTAGTAAACAGAGTTTGATGACTCTGGAAGACATGTGAAGGGAGGAGGAGAGAAATGGCCCCATAAAGTTATCCTTTGACCACCCCCCCCCCACACACACACACATGCATATGTTTGTACACAGTAACTTTTTATTCAATAAGGAATGACCATAGATATTGAATCTGCCCATTCCTGGGGGGGCCTTCTGGAAAAGCTCCTAAAGTCTTGTGGACCCTGGAGCAAGGGTGAAGAAGAGCTAATGAGACTGGGAAGGAAGGGCCTCTGCTGAATATCCTGGAAACAGGTCTCCAAGAGGAGACACGTCAGCAAGGAGTACAGCTTTGTTTGGGAGCTTGGGGTCCAGATGAGCCAAGTCCCTGACTGGGTCTTCAGTATACTGGTTGTGCTCCTCATCTCTCTGGGGGATGTTTTGGGGTTGCCTGAAGTTTGTAGTAAATAACAGCATGTGTAGCACCTTAATACATGAGCAGCCATACTCATATTTTAATCTTAATGCCTTGTATGTTGAAACTTGCCTGACACATGATCCTTTAGTCTTTCCTAACTAAGCCTATGAGGGCACATAATTCCTTCACACAGCTTCTGAAGTCTCTGAGGGCAGTTCTGCCCCTGTGAGGTAGAATTAAAGAGGTTTTGGTGCCTCCGTTCCATGTTGTCTACTCTCTTCATTTATCTCCGGCCTAGACTAACATGAGCAAAATCTATTTTCAAGTCCCCAGATTCTAGGTCCAGCAGTCAGATCTCTGTCTTCTTCCTCATGTTGGTGAGGGCTTGACCTGAGTAATCTAGACACAGACACACTTCATGAGAACCACAGTCTTGTGTTCCCCTTGTCCTTTCCTAGTCCTCACCCCTATCTACTTCTTGGCACCTGACTCTCATAAGATGTAACCCCATGCTAATTAGAATTCCAGACTATGATCCTGGTAATGCTATAATGCTCTCACTTGGTGCAGGATTACACAGTCCATTTTTCTGATGAAGACTCCCCTCTTTTCAATCTACAATTATTGCTTGTTTCTTGGCTCAAATGACAGACCCTATCTCACACCTCTCAGATGCTCTGTCTGCTATCTAGAAGCTGAAGCTTCTCCCCAGGACTGTGCACTGTTACTGACCTCTAACTCCAGTGCTCTCTGCTTTTTATGGCTTTCCTAGGTGAATGGCCTAGTCATCTGGATGGACCCTTTGTTGTACGCGGAGAGAGAGATTGATACGGCGCCTTCTGAATCCCCTCACATCCCTAGCATTGAAGCAGTCTTGATTCTTAGGTTTCCAAAGAAAAATTCACACAGTAGCACTGGCGAGAATCCAGCAGCCAAGGTGGTATCGGTAGGTAGGGAAGAAGAAGCATAAGCCAGCCTAGAGTGGCTTTGCCGTCCTCCCAGAGCCTCGTCCTTGCTCTTATCTAGTCAGGTTGCCTGCTTGGTGTGCAGCTACAAGCTCTCTTATTTCCCTTCCTCTGGTGTTACAGGCTGTTTTAGCCCCAGCTTTTGTTTAGTGCTAACATCTGTTTCTCACCTCAACACTTTGCGTATCGTTTTCTACTAGTCTTCCTAATCATGGGGCTGAGCACTTTGCGGGGCCCAGTCTTTTCTAATCTTCCACAGCAGACATTCCCAGGACCTGCTGATCCAATATGATGGATGCCATTGCCATTCTCTTAAAAAAAAAAAAGTATCATGGCTCATTTCCATTTTAATTTTATATAATAAAACATCATTTTCAAAGAATTTTATGTGCAAAAAGAGTCTGTCTTAAAATTTGAAAAATATTCTTTCTTTTTTTAGACACATAAATATTTGTCAGTTTCATATAACTCTGGATTTGGAATTATAACCTGTTTTTATGTTCAAAAAATATTCTTCTTAAAAGACCATGACAAAGAGAAGTGACTTACTTTGCCTTCAGGGACACATGATTCCCCTCATCCATCTCACAGACCATCACAGGGATCAGGGGTATATCGAGGCCGTCTGCATCATCTTTCTCATAGGACAGGAAGCACTTGAGCCTTGCTGTATTTTTCGTCTTACAACAGTCAGTGAACACGTGACTGCCCACCATGCCTTGGCTGTTGCAAGTATGTGTGAGGAAGGTAGCCGTCTATAGGAGGAAAGAGTGACGTATAGGGGTGTGTCGCAGACCCCCATTCCCCACCATGGGAGAGCTAACCTGGGTGCTTGATGCCGAGCTTTGAATCCAGTAATATCTGGACACAGAGATTTTAATTTTATTTCTGTATTTATTCTGTCTGCACATGTGTATTCACATGTGTGTAAGTGTGTGCACATGTATATCCACACGCATGCACATGACCCAGAGACCAGTGCTGGGTCTTTCTCAATCATTCTCCATCTTAATTCTAAAACAAGGTCTTTCAATGAACCTACAACCATACTGACTGATGAGCAAGCTCTGGGGATCTGCCTGTCTTGGGTCCCTACTGCCGGTACTGTGGAAAAGCATGGCTGTGGCTGACTTGACATGACTGCTAGGATTTGCACTCAGGCCTTCACACGTGTGCACCAAGTATTTCACCAACTATGCTATCATGCCAGTCCCCAGGCATACCTTTCAAGTAAAATGCTTTTAAGTATTCATTTCTTTACATTCGTTTATCTATTATGTGTGGTGAGGGGTGTGTGTTTACCTTGGAGCAGGTGTCGAGGTCAGAGGACCACTAGAGAGGGCCGATTTTCTCCTTCCATCTTATGAGCTGCTGGTATCAAACTCAGGCTGTCTGAATTGGCAGCCAGGGCCTTGACTGTCCAGCCCCTTTTAGGTTTTTAACTCTAAATCCAAACATGCTAGTTGTTGACCACAGAGAATTTACCACTTATGCTTTCCTATGAAGTTGCTTCCTTCTCAAGCAATTGACAGGCTTTTGAAAAATAGTTAGATATAATTCAGAATTTCCAGGGCAAGATATTTTTAATGAGAACTCTCCACCAAAAAAAAAGCTACTAATTTGCTTATTTCCCACTCATTTTTAACTTTGTTTCCATGGGAACATATTTTAAGCATTGAACTTCGAGTCAGTGTGTTCGTTGTCAGCTTTCCAGCTGGAAATGTAATAATTCCAATGTTTTCAAATGTTTTTAGGTGGCAGGAAATGTGTGGTGTTTGGTAAACCTCAACTTACATGCGTGTCTCATATTTGAGGAATAAGTACAGAAAAAGTCATTTTTGAAGCAGAAATCCAAAGGGGTTGCTCTAAAATGAGTGTAACCACCAGAAGAACCTTCATTCAAAATGTGCACCGATGACACCCTTCATATTCAGAAGCTAAAACACTACGCACAGGCATTATCCCTAAGGGATGAAGCAAGGGAGAAGAAAAGTTACTTCTCATTTATATGTTACATTGTTTAGCCTGAAAATAACTGGTCCTAAAACTCTTTAAGACAATGTTAGTGTTAATCAAGAATTTCTCAGGGAGAGAAATTGACTCAATGGCTGAAGGCATTTGCTGCCAAGTCTGACAACCTGAGTGTGATCCATGGGACCCACACAGTCGAAGGAGAGAAAGAACTCCCACAAGTTGTCCTCTGATCTCTGTCTCTGTCCTGTCTCTGATCTCTGTCTCTCTGTCTCTGTCTCTGTCTCTCTCTGTCTCTGTCTCTCTGTCTCTGTCTCTCTCTCTCTCTCTCTCTCTCTCTCACACACACACACACACACACACTCACACACACACACACACACACACACACACACAATTTAAAAACTAGAAAAAGTTTCCCCAGGGAATCCCTATTTTATTGAAATTGCTGGTCATAAGACAAACAGAGCTTTATAATGAAACAATAATAATGTCCCTTATTTTCTACTACCTGAGAAACGGATCTGTAAAAATTTTTTTTCATATTCTCAAAGAAATTTTTAAAATTAATTTTAATTTTAATTGTTTCCCAAAGTTCTTTATATGAAGCTGTCATACACCAGCATTCTGGTGACTCAGGCAGAGTAGTCTACATAAGTAAGCTCACTGGTCATATGATTCTTTCTCTTGAGTGCTTGGCCCTCAGAACCTGGGGCCCCAGGGGGGGGGAAAAAACTTGTTAAATGTAGGTTTAGAAGTCTGCAAAGATTATATCTGGCATGTGATTCACATACATTCTCTTGCTTTGCAATGTCCGGCCTAATTATTCAAGCAGTCCTGTTTCTAGCAACATCTTTTGTTTACCATCTAGCTGAGACAGGAGAATAAAGCAACATGTGATCCACCAACTGGCTGGTGAACTCTGGAGGTGACTCCTGGGGTTTGAGACTCTCACACTTCTCAGCAAGATCCGGCAACTCTGCAGCTGTGCTTTGGACTTCTTCATAAGCTGCATCCTGAAGAACCTGAGCGACCGTAATGCTAGCACTACAACAACGTAAGATCTGTATGTTGAGTGTGTAATGGCTTTGCCTCTTCTTCCTTTGTTGAATCACCCTATTCTCCCCAAAATGATTTCTACTTGAATTCAAACAAAAGGATATTGATATCCAAACTCACATGTCTCTTAGGTTTTCCTCCAGGTGATCCTGGCAGTTAGTATGCTGCCTGGCTGGGGAAAAGGGTCTTGTTTGCTGCTGTGATTTGCATGCATTTATGGCCCCGACTTTCATGTGTTGAAATCCTAACCCAAGGTGAGAACTTGTAATAGTCATAAGGGTGGAGCCCTCATCCACAGAATTAGTGTCCTTAAAAAAGAGGCCCATGGGAGCTCATTCATCCTTCCTCCCATATGCAAGCATAGCAAGAAGATATCCCTTATGGGCTAGAAAGCAGGTATGTATAAGGCACCAAATATGAGAACCCACACCAGACACTGAATCTGCTAGCATTTGGTGTAGTAGCACTTTTCAGCCAGCAGGTGGCATTGGTACAGCTCCAAAACAGGGCCTGCTGGCGATCTTGGCTGGAGTAGGAGATGGCGGAAATCGGAGCCAGGACTCCCCTGCCTCTTTCGCTGGTCTCGGGGCTAAGCTAGGGAACTGAGATCGGACTAGCTGCTCCCTTTTTCGGGAGTGGAACCGTGTAGGTGTTCCCTGGTTATATGGAACTTTGCAGGCGGGTTTACACCAGCCAGGGAGGAGAGGGCGGGAGCCACCCAGACCTTTGGAATTTGCCCCACGTTGGGCGCCAGATATTGGTGAAATTATTTTGGCCACTCCATGTAGTTAAAAGGATATTTATTTAATTGCGTAACTCACAAATTAAGTGATAGGTAGGTCGCAGGGTCTGGGAAAGGTGTATCGCAGTCCAGTGGTGTTCTCCGGAGCTCTGCACAGTCCACCTCCAATGTTCAGGGTCCCGGAACAGAGAGAGCACGCAGAGAGAGCACTGGCCCATCCAGCTCTCAGGTCCCCAGGCGCCTCCCCTGGCCCCGCCTCGTAGGCGTGACAGTTGCCAGAGTCTCAATGGGGGTTGGAACTTCCAGATCCAAGCTGGAATGGCTACCCACTACAATTTGGTCTTGAACTTTCCAGCCTCACAGGTACTGTGTGAACCAAACTTCTGATGTTTATAATCCTCCCACCTTGTGGTATTTTATTACAGTGGCTCAAAAGGACTAAGACATTAGGGTGACAAGCACTTCTGCAGACTGACAACCCCCTTTAAATTCCACACTCTATATTGTTCACTCACAAATTTCTAGATTTATTTTCATTAGCTGTAATGATAAGAGCAATTTAACAGTATATATCTTCTTTTGAATTTAAACTGTTTCCTGTGAATGATCTTCTTAATATTCAAACATAGCTGAACTCTATCATTGGTTACAAGTAAATTGCATGTAGTTCTGAATTAGGGCCTGGGGAAAGGGCTCAGTTGGTAAAGTTCTTGCCTTTTAAGCACAAAAGCCTGAGTTTAATCCCCAACACCCACTTTTAAAAAAGAGCTTGGCATGGTGGAGAAAGCTGGTAATCCCAGGGCTGATAAGGCAGACACATGGATCCCTGAGGCTCACAAACTAGCTGGCCTACCCTACTTGACAATCTCCAAGCCAATCAAAAATCAAATGAAACAAAATGACACCAATAGACATGAGATGGGGGAAGCTCGTGAGGTCAGAACCCTAGATAAAGGAATCCTGGGAGCAGGAGAAATAGTCTTCCCCAGGAAGAGCATGCTAATTAGTTATCCAATACTATATGGTCAGCCTTGAAGACATATACATATAGGTAACATTATACTGACTGAGCAGTATATTTATACACACACACACACACACACACACACACACACACACAATTAAAGAAAAAGAGGCCATGAATGTAGCAAGAATCTTAGAAGGTCTTATTAATAAAATCAAACCTGAGGCCAGTTATTGGGGTGAATCCTGGAAGATCAGAGAAGCAGAACAAGCCACAGCCACCTCACCCGTGCCAGTTCCTCAGCTGATCTGTTTCCTCAGACTGGAAGCCTCTGAGTCCTCATCCAAATGAATCTCAGCTGAACTGCTGCTCAAAAGTCTGAATGCTTAACCAGCCAAACGCTTCTAGTTCCTGGTCTTCATGCCTTATATACCTTTCTGCTATCTGCCATCACTCCCTGGGATTAAAGGCTCACTTCTTGGGATTAAAGGTGTGTATCACCAAGCCTGGCTGTTTCCAAAGTGGCCTTGAACTCACAGAGATCCAGAGGGATTTCTGCCTCTGGAATGCTAGGATTAAAGATGTGTGTGCCACCATTTTCTAGCCTCTATATCTAGTGGCTGTTCTGTTCTTTGACCCCAGATAAGTTTATTAGGGTGCACAATATTTTGGGGAACACAATACCACCACACATGAATCTGAGGGAGAGTGAATGATATCACATGGGAGGGTTTGGAGTGAAGGAATAGAAGGAGGAAATGATGCAATTGTATTATAATCTCAAAAAAATAAAAATAAAAAAATCAGGATGATGTCATCTGAAGTGCACACACAAGATTGTGCTCTGTTGCTTATGCAGGGACACTTGGCTCAGTCTGGGAGGAGGGGACTGGATCTGCCTGGACTGAGTCTACCAGGTTGATCGCAGTCCTCAGGGGAGGCTTTGCTCTGAAGGAGGTGGGAATGGGGGGTAGTTTGGGGAGAAGGGGAGGGGGGGGAGGGGGGAGAACAAGGGAACCCATGGCTGATATGTAGGACTGAATGGTATTGTAAAATAAAATAAAAGCACACAGACACACAAGGTTCTGAATTCTTTGAACTTAATGATTTGGTTAAATTCTTCTATTCTTTCATGAAAAGCTATCAGCACACTCAAAAGTAAATGCCATCCCTTGCGAATAAAATCCCAAACATTAACAATCTGTGGGTCTTAATTTGGCAAAGAAAGCATCTCCCACACGTTGTATTGCTCATCGCCTCCATCTTCATCACCCACTCATCACATACCCATACACATCTCAATGGAGCTGTGTCTTCCTTCTTACACTAATGGTCGGTCTCTAGGGAACTAAGCAACTTTCTGTGAAGTAAACCATCATTAGCAATTACAAAATAAAGGTTTTACAGGCAGCTCTGCGGATTTCAACTTCTATTTTATAAAAAGTAAAAAGAAAAAAATTACCTCTTTCCATTTATGTATGAAATAGGTTTCAGTGGGTGAGCACTGAGATCAGATGAGGGGCGGGAAGTTGGCACAGTCGGGATAAAGAGCCCAGCACAGTGGCATGCATCTGTTATCCCATTGTTGGGGGTGGTAGGGCAGGAGGATTCTGGGAGCCAGTTTAGCCAGTCAGGGAGAGATCCTGTCCCAGAAAATTAGGTTGAGGAGCAACTGAGGACGACACCCAATGTCAGCCTCCAGCCTCTACGTACACATGCACATATGTACACAAATACATATGCACAGGAATGCACCACACTATACACACACACACACACACACACACACACACACACACACACACACACACACACTAAATGAAAAAAAAGTAAAGTTCCGAACATATTGCCTGGTGATAATAGGTACTAAATAATGTAGTTCTATTATTATTATTTCTGCAGTCATTCACATTTTTGCTCTACTTAAATTCGCTTAGCCAATTTCAAACATTGGCTTACATGTAGCATTCTCTCATCTAGAATGGAAGCAAGGAAGGAAAGCTGAAGTGAGATATTCCCAGATGAGTGGCCTCGACATATCAGCTCCCTTTCTGTAGTCATTCCACACACCAGTGTCTAACAAGTTTCAACGACTCTTTTGGCAGTGATGACCACTGAGAAAGACAAGCCTTTCCACACACAGGTTAGTAGTTGCCATAGTTATTCATCATATCCTTACACACAGGCTACACAGGCTATAAATGGAATTTCCTACCTGCTTGTAGAAAACTTCAGCTCACATTTAATGTAGCTCAAGAAAACAATAAGAGATAGAGTTTTAATAATCGCCATTGTTTCAGATGAAGTTCCATCATTGGAGAGAAATGAATATTTGATATTCTTTTCAAGCAAATATAATTAACCATTAACTTTTTGAGTGAATATTTTTTTTTCTTGATGGATTTTTTTTCTCCCATGGATTCTCATAAAGTTGAAGAAATTTGGGACAATGAAGAAATATTGGTGTTCATTAATGAATATAGAATTTTAAAACAAATAATATCGACCTATGATTTGTTCAAGATTACAACACACAGGCCTTGTAAGAAAACATTAATCAGCATGTTTGGTAGATTCCAGTCTACAGATCTCATTTCATAAAACTGCTTGTTTACAAGTGCAAAGTTCTGAAGAGGCAAAGAGAACGCAAACATGTACTCTCCTTGGCCAGACAAGTGGCCAGGACTCAGATATCAACGTTGGGCATGCTTCCAGGACCCTGGAGAGAGGAGTAGAGGGCACAAACACTGCCAGCAAACACAAAGGCATGGCATCCATTACTGACTGCTGATTGTCATCAGGACTACAACATGGCTTTCACTCACACAACAGTATTATCAGTGCCTGCGTGGGGAATCAAGACTGATTCTTACCATGTGCACACGGACTCTCAGACAACACCGCAGGTCTAGCTACCTTTAGAGCCCACACACCCAAGAGCTTCACGGTCTGATGCCCTTCCACTGCTCTCTGTAGGTCCAGGACAAAAGAACAGGCCGCTGATAAACAAAGAGAAAGTGTTGGATGCATGTGAACTCCAGAACGTGGAAAGAGGGGATCGATCGCCGGTAACTGCTGTAGCCTTTCCTACCTTCAATTTCCTCATTTGCAAAAAGTAGCTTTGATCAAATCACTTGCGGGTGAAAATTCGGTTTTCTCCAAGTTAGTCTCACTGGGGAAACAAACCACTCTTAAGGGTAGACTGCATACCCAACAGCAGGCGGCCAACAGAAAGGAACTCAGTGGAATCTTTGGGGCGGGGCGCTGTTCTTATCTCACAATGTTGTGTTAGAACTTTTTAAAAATGTTATCTTATTTTTTTTTAATTTTGTTTGTATATATTTTCTCTCTTTATATCCTGTGGGTCCTTTGGGTGTATATCATGGCTTCCAGTTTAGTGTTTTTTGTGGAATTCCTAGGTGTGTGAATGAGGGGGGTCTCTATTTCTTATGCGCCTTCTTGAGCTCTTTTCGTTCCGTCTGTTTTGTTCTGTTCTGGTGTTAGTTTTTGTTTTATCTTGTTATATTTAATGTATCTTAGAATACATTTTATTACATTTAATGGGAGGGGAGGTGGGGAAAAACTAGGAGGAGGAGAATGAGGGGAAGCCACAATCAGGATATATTCTGAGAGAGCAAAGAAACTCTATATTCAATAAAAAAAAAAGAAAGAAAAAGAGAATTTCAAGGGCTTATAGTCTGTCAGTTGATTCTGCTACCCACATGTTCCATTTTCTGGCTGCCTAAAGAGGAACCTGTGTGTGTGTGTGTGTGTGTGTGTGTGTGTGTGTGTGTGTGTGTGTGTGTAATACATATATGTCACAAGGGAGACAGAGATATTTGCCTGAAAAACAAAACCAAATTGGTCATCATTTAGACTTGGGTTACACCAGCTTAAGAATATGAAAATAGAAATAGAAGACCATGGTTATTTTTGGGTTTAGGGAGAAACCTGGTGCCAGGGAAACTCTCGGGAATCCACAAGAATGACCCCAGCTAAGACTCCTAGCAACAGTAGAGAGGGTACCTGAACTAGCCGCCTTCTGTAATCAGATTGGTGACTATCTTAAATGTCATCAAAAAGCATCCATCCGGTAACTGATAGAAGCAGATTTGGAGGTTCACAGCCAAGCACTGGGCCCTGCTCCTGCAGAAAGGCAAGAGGGATTGTGTAAGCCAGGGGAGTCAAGGTCACAAAGAGACAGCTGACCTGAGCTCGTAGGAGCACACAAACTGGCACAAACTTGTTAGGGAGCCTGCATAGGACCTACCTAGGCCCTCTGCACGTGTGTGACAATTGTGTAACTTGGTCTGTTTGTGGTGCTCCTAGCACTGGGACCTATCCCTGGCTTTTGGGAACTCAATCCCCCAGCTGGGTTAACTCACCCAACGTTGATGCAGGGAGAGGAGCTTGGTTCTGCCTGGGCTTGCTGTGCCCCTGCTTGGTTGACTCCCATGGGAGGCCCGCCCCTTTCTGAATGAAGACAGAGGAGGAGCTGATTTGGAGGGGGGGGTAGGGGGAGGGAACAGGAGGAGAAGAGAGAGGGGAAACTGTGGTCAGTATGTAAAATAAATGAAAAAAATTAATTAAAATAAAAAGAAAGCAAGCCATGGTTAACAAGGGAAAGCTGCTGCTGGCCGCCAGCTGCCACCATTCTTTCGGGGCCTTCTGAATATTCTGAAAGTTCATCCTTCTTATTTATTTGATTGGTTGGTGGGCTTCAGTTTTTTTGTTTGTTTGTTTGTTTGTTTTGTTTTGTTTTTTGAAACCAGTTTTTACTAGTATCCCAGGCTATCCTCAGACATGTAGTCTTCCACCCAGCCTCCCAGGTTCTGGGATTATAGGTTCTAAGCTAGCTAGCGCTCCTGACATGTATCCTCAGTGTTCCCTTGAGATCTTGTTCTAAACCTCCTGGGTTCATCGGAGAGGGAACAGTTCCACCAGTGCCAGTGCCTTGAATGAAGACACCAGACTGCCACCCCAGGCAGACATCACTAACTAATCCTGGGCCCCACCCCTAGCTCAGCCTTAGAATTACTCATAGCACATTCACCTTAATAGATCGGAGTTAACCCTGGGGTGTGGGGGACGGGGGTGCTAAACTAATTCTGCCTTTTAAAAAAAATCCAAATTTAAGTGGGGAGAGATATTTAAATATTGGTAAAAGATTCTTGAAAATGCAAAAAAGATGCCATCACCATCCATCACTGACTAATGGTAGAATTCAGATCGTAAGAAACACAAATGGTGAGGAATATTTAACCATGGTCAGGGCATGGGATTTATGATGTAATTCATTCTATGTAATTTCCCAGAAAACAAACAATTAAGAAAAAAAACTTTCTCATGCTGGCCTTTGATTTGGGGTTTTGTTTGCTTGTTAGCTCGAGACAGAGTCATGCCGAACTATCTGTCTCAGTCTTCTTGCCTCAGACTCCTGAGTGAGAGCTGGGATTACAGCTGGGATTATTTATTTAAATAAAAACTATATTATGAACTGAATAGCCTATCCTTGCCCACATTGTAGAAACAGAGTTCAAAAGGACAAAAACCAGGACTGGATCGCAAAACAACCCGCAGTGATCAATGCCCATTCCCAGTGAGCACAACTGTACCATGAGGCTTATTGTACTTACAAGCACCTCTAGAACACTGTAGAATTCTTCCTGCATCAAGCCCGAGTGTGCTCTGTTGCTGGAGGGCTTCTCTCCAGGTTCCATCAAGCCCTGCAGTCCCACAACCCACGTATAAAATAATCACTCAGACACTTATATTACTTATAAACTGTATGGCCGTGGCAGGCTTCTTGCTAACTGTTCTTATATCTTAAATTAACCCATTTCTATAAATCTATACCTTGCCACATGGTTGGTGGCTTACCGGCATCTTTACATGCTGCTTGTCCTGGAAGTGGCTGCAGTGTCTCTCTCTCCTTCTTCCTGTTTCCCCAATTCTCCTCTCTCCTTGTCCCGCCTACACTTCCTGTCTGGTCACTGGCCATCAGTGTTTTATTTATATAGAGCGATAGCCACAGCACTTCCCCTTTTCTTCTTTAATTAAAAAGGAAGGTAACTGAGAAATGGTAGATGGATGCAAGCAACTTTCGGGAATCTTGCAAGAGTAGACCAAGACAGCTGGCAGCCTGGACAGTCACCTAATATTTTTCAGCATTGTTGGTGCATTCAAATTGGCTACAGGCCTAGAGTATATGACAGACCATTTTCAGAAGCAGGAATTCTGAAAGACCATCTTACCCTGTCTTGGCAGAGTACAGTGGTCACTTTCCTTGTGTCCCGCTTGTCCAGAAAGGACAGCGTTGTATTTGTACTGTCAGCCGTCAAGGCAAGGGCAGTTCTTTGCCCAGTAGGCCATTTTGTGCCAAGAAGGCAAACTTCCAAATGGAAATGTCTTAGAAGCCCAACATTCTCTCGGGATCAAATTGGTGCAGCCAGGAGCAATTGTGTCTCACGTCAACAGAATTTTAAGTTATTTAAATGCCATATTCTCTAGGTCTATGAAGTGTTCGAAGATTACCTATCTATCTGAAATATATCTATGTATACCTAGAAGACTTAACTAACATGGCTATAAATATGATTATCATAGATGACTAATTATTAATCTATTTTTTAATTATCCATTACAATTTTAAATGAGTTACATAAACATAATACCTCAAACAAGAATAGAAATATATATATACTGGTCATACAAGTGCTGTGTGAGTATACACAGTAGGTTTGAAGCTCCCTGACTCCAAATCCTCTCTTCTCCAAGCCACAGGAAACTACACCCCGAGAGTGGACCATTCTCCACCCTACTGCCCGGCCCCCCGCCCTGAATTTGCAGTGTTATCATCTGGTGGCCAATGTACTTGGTGTTAATATAGTAATGAAGTTCATTTCTTCTTAATATGGTAACATACCATACAAACACACACACACACACACACACACACACACACACACACACATACACACACCCTAAACAAAAAAACCCCACAAGGTCACAGAGTCTACATCAAGTTTGTAGCAGTAGGAATTTGAAGCACCTCCAAGCACCCCACACACGTCTTCCACCATCACAGTGCTCTGGCTAATGGTGAGGGTCTTTTCTCATCCCACCCACATCTATTACAGCCTCAGTGCCTGCTTGTCTATTATGTTCCCCCTCCTCAGAAAGACACGAGATCTGCATCCATCTGACTCGCACTCACATCCACTAAGTCTGACACACAGCAAGACTCTAATAACTATTTTTGAATAAGTGAGTGAGAGTCTGGAAGTCTGTGTTTGAAACACTGTACCTCTTTGGTGCAGAACACAGAGAAAGAAAACCCTCTCACCACTGGTGACATCAAAAGCATTCTTCGGGCTCTCTGCCTAAAAGATCACCGAAAACTTTTTAATGTGTGTTTACTAATTGCATGTGTTTACATATGTGTACAGGCACATGGGTATGGAGGTAAGAGAAGAACTTGTGGGAGCTGATTCTCTCCCTCCTCCATCTGGGTCCCAGGGAGCGAACTCCAGTCATTAGGCTTTTACCCAAGGAGTCATCTTGCCATCCTGAATAAAAGATTTTTGATGCACACCACGTGACTGAACCTAGGAAGTGACGTTCACAATATTGTTCTGCAATCAGGAGACACAAGCCCTGGTTCTTTTGGTCACTGACTGGCTGTATACCATTGAGCAGAGTTGTTCCTCTCCCCAAACCTCGGGTCTCTGTAAAATGGAAATAAAAGTATGTACTCCGAGAACTGTGAGAACTAAATAAGGCAATTCATAGAAAACTCTCGGAGCAGGGTTGGGTCCCTCCCACAGAGGCCGGCTGTGAGCCGTACCCACATGTGCTGTCGAAGGTTCATGCCCTCAGCCCCCCAGTTCCTTTTAACCAGCAGGACCCAGAAACACTCTCCCCACACAGTGAAGAGTTCTGACCTCCAGAGAGAGCAAGGCAAGCTCAACAGAGTAAACTGAATCATGACAGCTTAGTCTTGTGCAGTGTGTGTGTGTGTGTGTGTGTGTGTGTGTGTGTGTGTGTGTGTGTGTGTAAAAGCGCATATGCATGAAGACACAGGTGCAACTCTGTACTCGGGCATGTGGAGACCAGAAGTCAACCTCAGGATCTATCCACATTGTTCTTTAAAGACAAGTTGTCCAACCAGGGAGCTCAAGGGATCTGCCTGTCTCTGTCCCCTTCCCAGGGTTAGGATTAAATGTGCATACCAACGTGCCTGACTTTTTATGTGGGTTCTGGGAATCAAATTCAGGTCCCTGGGATTGCACAATGTGATGGCTGACCTTGGTTGTCAACTTGACACATCTGGGAAGAGGAACTCTCAGTTGAGAAATTGTTCCCATCAGATTGGCCTCCCGACATGTATGTTAAGCACTTCCTGGATTGGTGATTGATGTAGAAGGCCCAGTACATTGTGGGTGGTACCATCCTCAGACAAGTGAACCTGGGCTCCCTAAGAAAGGTAGCTGAATGTGAACCTGGGAGCAAGTCAGAGTAAGGACTGTTCCTCTATGATTTTCCTTCAGTTCCTGCCTCCAGATTCCTGTCTTTAGTTTCTGCCTCAGCTTCCCTTGCTGAAGGGCCTTTAAGGTAAGGTAAAATAAGCCTTTTCTTTCCCAAGTCACTTTCAGTCAGGGTGTCTGTCACGGCAACAGAAACCAAATATGTCGTGCAGCAATCACTTTGCTGACTACAACACAATTGATTAATTTTGTGACCAGGTTGACAGATGACATTGGTCTGTGAGGTAACTTTATACTTTCATTTTATTAATTTTCACAGTAACATGATTCAAGTAAGGGTTAGAGAACCTTCTATTCCATTCATCTTAAGAGCTGAACCTCACCACAGGACAGAGAGGGAGACTGCAAGCGTGTACTGGCTGAAAAGAAAAAAAAATATGCAGTGAAACAATCTGACCTCAGATGATAGACATATATTTAATAAGACTTTACTAATGTGAACTATGAGCTATACAGTTGCAGACCAGGCCTCCCCTGGGTTCAGGTACCTCTTTCCTGACACTGGACATCATTGCTATTGTCTAGAAATTGCTGTCATGAGTCATATGTAAACTGCCAGGAAAGGAGCATCCTTTATTAATATTCTTCAAAATTGTAAATGAGTTTGTTTACAAGGCTCTTCATTCATATGTTGACCATGCCTCAGCAGTGATTTCCAATAAGACTCTCAAAGGAGACTTTTGGAAGATTACTGAAGTAGTCTGTCTGTCTAGTCCTCCCTGAGAATTTAGCATTTTTCTTCCCCTCCCCCACCTTAGCTCTGTGAGGTACTGAGTTCTCACACTATAACCATGGCTAGCCTGGAACTCACTGTGTAGCTCAGGCTGGCCTAGAACTTGCAGCCATCCTATTGTCCCAGCATTCCAAGTGCCGTGATTACAGAAATGTGCTACCACACCAGGTTTACCTTTCCAAAGACTCAACAGTCTCTCTTTTCTGATTCAGACAAAAGGATGCAGAAGAGCAGAGACATGGGTGTCTTTGGGTTATTCAGAAAATGAACAATCCTGGCAGCATTCTGCCCTAGATATGATTGGCATCCAGAGAAACACACGAGGACCTGAACTGGCAACTGTGAGCGCCTAGGTGTATGAACCAAATGAGAAACAGACACACAAGAAGCAAGAAACCATGGAGGCCGAGCATCACATCAAGTTTGGACATTTCACTGAGACAGAAATCTTTACCTCTGGTGTTTTATCTTTTTTTTTTTTAATTAGCGGCTTGACTTTCGTTGCCACTTTTTGAACCCTGGGAGGAAAAAAAGAAAGAAATAAAATCATAGGAAGAAAAGTTTGAGATAGTCAGGTTTAAATTTAGAGAAGCACATTCATCTGAATTTTGAATGGAAACATAGCTCACAGGCACATTCACACAGAGGGAGGAGGAGGAGAGAAAGAGGGAGAGAGAGAAAGAACGTTCTTCAGGCAACCTTGAGAAAAGACACTGAAGTCTTTTTATGTCCTGCAAATAAATTCATCTCTCTTTTTATACAGCCCTTAAGAACATACTTGGGCATACGCTAGACAGAGGTTAATGTCCTCTAATTAAAGTAAACATATTTTAGCAAACGAATAATTTTATCACTGTGTTTCCAAAGACTTAAGTCACTCAGCAAAACAGACGGCTCTCAAGCAGGATGAAGTACGTGTTCACTACATGCGCCTGCAAGTGTACACGAGTGTGCACGAACTGTGAAGGAGTTGTGAAGTACACCACAAGCTGCTGTGAAAGAAATAACGAGAAAGGAAGTCCAGGACTTCATCACACCCTCCACGGAGCAATCCACTGGGGCTGACACTCACAGGTACCAGGGTCACACCACAGCAGGGTGCTGCAGATGCCACAGCCACAGGAGCAAGAGGAGCAGGACCAGCTTCCCTGCGCTCGCTCCCCAGCTCCCTTACCCTCAACTCCCCCACACACGGTCAACTGAGTGACCTTGGGAAGATCCAGAAAGATCAAACAGCCACCTTAAAAGCCTTCCTTTCCTACTGCCCTTCCTGCCCTCCTCCCTTCCCAGCTGACCATGACTTCCTTGGCCAGTCCCCTTGACCCCATTGTACCAGAGAGTTAGAGTCGAGGAGTTTCGAGCAATGGTGTAATTCTAGCCGAGTTATTGCCATCCTTATTGACAGATGGTGGATGCCGTTTTGTTTCAATTACACAGAAAAGACAGCAAGGGTCGGAACCAAGCTTGCCTGGCAGTTTCCTTACACCGGAGCCTCTGTCGCGGACATCTCAACTCTAGTTTGGGGATGGCTGTGCTCTCACACATAGGACTCTTGGACTTGACAGAGAAGAGGAAGACCCCATAGGGAATTCTATTTTGTCCATCTTTCCTAAAATGCCAGTAGAATTTCGGTGGGAAAACAGCAGATGAATAACTACCTCCGGACGGAAACAGGCTTCCGGCTCCCGCGCTTCGCTGCACGTCTCTCCAGCAGCGGTGAACTTGGTGAACAAACACCGACGCTCCTCGTCCGTGATCTCTGGCATCCACTTCACCAAGTTGACCATGAACCTGTGCTCACAGACACCCAACAGAATCCGTGAGCGACTCCTCTCTGTAGCTCCGCTTCTTCTAAGTGTTTATTACAGAAACACACCTGTCCTAAGCTTCAAATTTGTGAATGTAAAAAGTTTAAATTTCTGCAAGGGTCTTTTTTTTTTTTTTTTTTTGAAATTTTTAAAAAATTTTACACATCAACCACAGTTTCCCCTCTCTCCCCTCCCCACTCCCCTCTGTCCCCGATCCACCATCTACTCCCCTGAGAGGGTAAGGCCTCCCATGGGGAGTCACCAAAGTCTGGCACATCAAGTTTAGGCAGGACCAAGCCCCTTTCCCCGCATCAAGGCTGAGCAAGGCATTCCACCATAGGGAATGGGTTCCAAAAAGCCAGTTCATGCACCCAGGATAAGTCCTGGTCCCACTGCCAGGGTCCCCACAAACAGATCAAGCCTCACAACGGTCACCCACATTCAGGGGGCTTAGTTTGGTCCCCTTTGCAAGGGTCTTATGAATGTTTCTTTCTAATTCGTAGAATGGATTCTCGGAGGACTATATAGTCACAGACCAAAAAAAAAAAAAAAAAAAAAATGGATCTTATTGAACATAGTAGATCTTCTAGAAGATTCATGTCTAGAAATCAATTCCCTTTCCTCAGCTAATGCTGTTTCCCTTATACTTGGTACAGACAAGTGTCTAAATCCAGAATCATGGGCCTTTATTCTTGGCATTTAAACATTACCTGAGAGAATAAAAGTAAAATTGCTGCCCCTTTGCCTCTCTCCTGTTTTAAAACACTGAAATTCTCAAGACAAAAACCCGTGTCACTGGAGATGGCGATGTGGCTCAGTGGGGTAAAGGTGCCTGCCACCGCGCCTGATGAGCAGAGTTCCACCCCAGGACCCACGTGATGGAAGGAGAAAACCAACCGCCACAAGCTGTCCCCTGACCTCTCAAATCATGTGCATGGTGCACACAGTGGCATGTGCACATGCACTTTGCACACACACACACACACACACACACACACACACACACACACTACTAAATAAATTTAAGAACATTTTTAAATATCCATATCATCCTCTTCCAAAAGGAAGAAAAATAATTCACCTTGTTTGCACCTGTCCAATAGTCCTCAGTTTAACTGCCTGGCCCCTCCTTCCAAAAGCCACCCTGGTGGATAGACTCTCCAAATTTCCAATAAGATAGAAGGAAAACTAGATTGTTGTTGTTGTTGTTGTTGTTGTTGTTTATAAACAACAACAATAATACACAATGTTATTTTGTGACTAGAAGAGCAAAAACAATTTGTTGAACAACACAAATTGTGTCAGCCAAAGCACCTAGACATCACGCTAACGTTCCTGAGTCACGTGTGCCCTTGGGGCTGTAGAAAGGCCTGGGAAAGTTCGTACCTGTGTTTCCTATTCTGAAGGTCCTCGTCATGGGCCTGACACCAGTCTGCACGCAAAGCAGATGTAAGTGCAGAGACTGACGGGAGGGCATAGCTTGTGTCAGCCTCCAGGCGCTCAAAGCAGTGCCTCCTGAAGGCGAAGTCTGTTTTGCAGCAGTGGTCCACAGCAGGATTGATAGTTCGGTTTTCGTTTACTCCACACATTTCTCCAAGAACTAAATCTGCCTGTACCGGTAAGGAGTGGAACTTGGATATGATTTTAAAATGCCAAGGACACTTTAAAAAACACATATGTGTATTTTTTTAGTTCAGAATAGCTAGTCCTGAAATCCCCAGCAACCTTGCTTAGGAAAACATGGTGCTTTCGAAACTGACTGTTATACTGTGTAGCAAGAATGGTAAAGGCTAAGTGGCAATACTACAAAAGTCTAACCTACAGCAATTAAATACCTACAGATTACTTTTTTTTTCATGTTATATACACAAAGTTTCTATTGTGTACAGAGACTTGTGAACAGCCACTTCAAAGTAACAACTAAACATGGTTTCTGGGCTTATTCTGCTCCTAAAAGACTAGGCAGAAAGTAACGTTTCTATCTGAACTCTCCCCTTGGGGGTAAAGTACAAAAATTGTAACACTATTTAAAATGGTAGGGTTTCTGGTCTGGGATGTAGTGCAGGGGCAGACTGCCTAGCATGTATAAGAACTACAGAATAAGTGAATTAGTTTTTCTATGCCATTCTGGAACAATATTGCGCTTCCTAAATCATTTGCCCTAGCCCATCACCTCTGACATAATTTAAAACAAAGATAATTTGAAGAATCCTTAAAAATGACTTAGGACATTCATTTTCTTCTGATTTTCAGGGATCCACATGGTGAGCCAAAGAAAGAAAATAATATTTCTTGCTTGGACGATGTGGAAAACAACAGAGAAGAGTAGAGAATTCGTATAAATCAACAATGGAAGGCATGAGCACAAAAAGCCAAGTACCAGGTTTGCCATCCCAGCACTGAAGAGTCAGAGGCAGGAGGATCACCACAACTTGGGAGCAACCTGGTCTGCATAGTGAATTCTAGGCCAGCTAAGACTGTACAAAGAGAGATTATCTCAAACACAGGAATAACAGATGGCAGACAGAACACCAATAGACATGCTAATGGGGAGGAGGGAATTCTCATTGGGCCCCACCTCTAGAGCTACAGGCAATTGACAACTGCTGAGAGAAAAAGAATTAGTCTTCCCCAGGGATGAACCCCCTAATTAGTTGTCCAATACCAAATGATCAGACCTAAAAACATTACATACTAGTAACACTGAACGGACTCATCAGGTTTTATTTATACATTTATCCGTGTGTGTGTGTGTGTGTGTGTGTGTGTGTGTGTGTGTGTGTGTGTGTAAAACAATAGTAATTAAAGAAAAAGAGGTCATGAATTTGAAAGGGGGTAGGGGATGATGATGTAATTATACATTAAGAATTGCAAATTTAGGGCTGGAGAGATGGCTCAGAGGTTAAGAGCACTGGCTGCTCTTCTAGAGGTCCTGAGTTCAATTCCCAGCAACTACATGGTGGCTCACAACATCTATAATGAGATCTGGAGCCCTCTTCTGGCCTGCAGACATACATGCAGACAGAACACTGTAAATTGTAAGAATTGTAAATTTAAAAAAAAAAATAGTCAGGTACATGGGCCACACTCACCAAATCATCAACGCAAGCGAACTCTTCACTTAGGGTGCAGCAGGATGCCAAAGCCGCCACCATTTCCTTACTAAGGGAGATCAGTTCTTCCGTGGAGAGCTGGGGGGCTGCCTTGGTGAACTTGACAAGGTAACTGAAAGAAAACACACCTGTTTGGTTCTGGATGATGGCAGATATGCATTTTCCTTTGAATAACTACTCACTCCAGCTCAACCAACCCATGAGAGATAGGAAACAGCCAGCACCCAACCAGTGTGACCCCCGTGCCATGATAGACCATCCTCGGCAGAAACGTTCTTGGCCAGTAAATAAAGTTCTTGAAATAGTTTGTGTTGACAGTAAGTAGTCTAAAAGGAGCATTGGACAGACATGTTAGGAATAAGATAAAGAAAGCTAAGATCCTTAAATGGACTGAGGTTAACATTGTGGCTGACAGCAACATTGCAGGAATAGAGAATTCACATTTGGATTAAAGATGTTGAACTTTAGTAAACCCAGCATTAGCATGATCATTATTGTTAAATCTAAATTAACTGCATATTATTCTTGAATTCTCATAAAAGCACCAAAAGGATAAATACTACAATGTTAAGCAAATCCACTGGTAATTCTGTGATTACCACCGGCTTAACCCCTGAGCTAACCATCGGTTCCCCAGGAAACAGGAGCCACCTGAAGCTTTCTCCATTCTCCTCTCACACAAAATATAATCCAAGAACCCTGATTTGGAGGTGAGAAACCCGAGTTCACAGACGCTAAAGGGTTACAGGAGCACTCTGTCTAGCATCTCAACTGTGGCCTCGTTTCTGGTCAAGGATTCATGTAACAGCTCAGTGTGAATTCTTGCCTTTTGTGCTCTTGTTCCTTCTCAGAGGTGATGAATTTGCATAACCGAGAGACAGACCTAATATTCTCTGTTCGAAAGATCATTTGACCCTGGTCACAAGTGTTAGTCCAGTTATGCAGACAACCTACTGGAGTTGCAGGGCGTCCTTCTCCAACTCCTGGAAGTGTTTACATTCTTGTTGGACCATTGCAAAGCTTTTCTCGGTTGTCTCATTGAATTTATCCTCCTGAAAATTAAAAGCAACCATGATTACAAACATTTTATCTAAAACTGAATGAAGCCACATGTCAGCTTGATGACTATCTTTTTTTGTTTTCAGGTTATATCCAAACTCTGGTTACTATATGTTTTTTCACCAAAATATAGCTTTATATGTATGTGCAAGAGTTTGAATTATTCCATTATAGATAGACAGTTCAACTATCTCATCCTTTTTAGAGCTTTAGGAGTTACAAGGTAAAATTTAAATTTTACCTTGGCAATATCTGTACATTGACCCTTATCTAGAAGCAGTCAGAGAAGTCGTTCTCTGCATCGTTAGTAAAGGAGCGTAGCTTTGTGAACGTAAGCAACTTTCTGAGGGTGACCCAGCTAATAGGCATTGCTGTGGAACAATGTAGGTGTATTTATCTTTATTTCTTTCTTTTCATTATTGAGGTTCAGAACTTAAAACCTCCCATAGTTGTCTTCAATTATTTAATGGACATTTTTTTTTTGCCACAGCATAAACTGGACATTTTCATGTGGCTATGAGAGAAAGCCACACTGCAGCACATGGACATTGTGGGACAAACGTGTCTCCATGATGAGAGAATTTTCTAGTACCATGATTCACCCAAAGACGAGGAACAGAGTGGCTTGATAAGGACAGTGACAGAGCATAAGTGAAAAATTAAAAGAAGAAGTTTTCTTATCGAATTGCCTAAATATGAATGATTATAAATTTACTTTCATAATATGTGAAAGAAAATATAAAATAAAGCAAAAGTAGTATAAAACAAAGGGATCATGAAAAAGTGTCAAATACTCCTATAATATATGAAGTTATATTTTATAGGTATATGAAGAGATATGGAAAGTTATTCATTTCAATATGAAAACAAGAAACAAACATGAACAAATTTTTATATAAAATTTAGTAATATATCAAAACTTGTATGAGTTTTTTTTTTTAGTTTAGAATTTCATACAACTTTCAATCATACCCACCCTTTTGTATAGGAAATTTTAAATATAATTTTAGAAATCAAGCAAATACTTAAAACATAGCCACTTTTCACACATAAATCTCCAAAGCCTAATGTGTATGTGAAATGTCAGCAAAGGCAACGTTGAATCAAACATGTCCCAACACTGCTCTGGCAAAAAAAAAAAAAAAATCTTCTAGAAGTTAACAGCAATTTGTGTCAAATGTTTCTAAAAGTCTCTATATTTTGACCCCATTACCTCCTTAACTGACGATCTAGCCTGAGAAAAACACTACAAATACTAAAGAAAATATGTAGAATGAGAGTCTCATCTGTGCATTGCTTACAAAGCTGTAAACACATAGCTAACGTGCTCAGTGTCCACACACCGTAGGAGAGCAGGTGAGTAAATTACTTCACATCGTTATGATAGAACGTCAAGGTTATAAAGAGAAAAGTTTTCTCTGTTAGAAGCTGGGAGTCACATGCTCCCTGGAGCCTGTGGAGGGAACCCAGCCACACTACCGCTTTGAATTGAGCCCCATACTGCTGATTTCTAACACTGACACTCTGGGGAGAGACCATTTCTGTTCTTTTAAGTCACCAGCTGTGTGGCCACAATAGGAAACAAATATAGCAACATTTAACACAAAATGAAAAGATTCCTGCTATACTAAATAATGTAAGGTCCAAACATTTTCTAAGAAATATACTTTTTTGATCTTACTTTTTAAGACATATGCAAGTATAGGGAAAGAAATATGAAAAAAATATTTAACAATATTATAATTATAATTGTATAGCACATATATCATATAATTATGTTACAATCAGAAAGCTTTAATAAAAATTGATAGTTGTTTTTGGTTTTGTGAATCTCCGTCAATAGGACCTACCGCATGGCGGTAACAACCTGGGGGGCTTTCTCTACTGCAGCAGTCTTCCAGGAGGTCCTTATACACTTTAGAAATTCTCAGAAGCTCTGGTGTTGAAAGTTCGTTATGTCTCCTGGAGTATTCATGAGTAAACCTGAGGTGTGCAAAACATTTATTATGTTAGAAAGAATATAATTATATCTATTATGTTATAGAAAAAAATAAAAGACCTAACTCCGCTTTCAATGAATCTATTAAGATCTAACATTGTGTCTGTTGCCAAGGCCAAATCTAGAATTCAGTCTGTTCATAGAACTCTTTACAAAATTTTTTTCTGTATTATATTTCAGACTAACATTCTTTCCTCATCAAAGAGGATAGAGTTGTTGGAATTATTTTAAAACAATTCAGAATAATTTAACACATGATACTGTGTATCAAAACTCTGTCATGTCTGAAGGACTCTAAGTCAACATACTACTGAGAAGCATGCACATCTGTGTTTAGTTGCTCTGCTAATCACAATAGCTAAGAAATGGAAGCACAAGCAGATGAGTATAGAAAATGTGATACACACACAATGGCATTTCTTCATCCAAAAGGGAAAAAATAAAATCATGACATTTGCAGGAAAATAGATGGAACTGGGGATCATTATATTAAGAGAAATAAGCCTGACACAGAATCTAGATTTAAATTCGTAAGTGAATGTGTGTGTGTGTGTGTGTGTGTGTGTGTGTGTGTGTGTGTGTGTGTGTGTTAAAACTAGAAGAGTTCAACAGAAGGCAAAGAGATTCACATGACTTAAAGGCATATGGCGAAGGATTGTGGGGAAAGAAGGTGGGCAGAAAATGGAGTGGAGAAGGGATAGGAGAAGACAGTGGGTGAGTGAGATGAATAAGAACAAAGTACAGTGCCATATAAATATGAAAATTCCAGAATGAAATCCATCACTTGGCACTGACTTTAAAAACCAATAATAACAGAAAATGAAGCAGGTAGTTTAACTTGCCCCAGTGACAAATAAGATTCAGACTTAGTCCTGTGGCCTGCAGTCCATTAATCTTCCCTTTAGGAACTGCCGGGTAACATTGCTGAACAGACAAGCATGTGACCTCCTAAGACCGGAACCCCCAGGGTCAGTTCCTCACTCTGTCATTTTTACCTGTGAATCTTCTCTCAGTGTGCTCATTCAAAATATCAGGGGAAATGGCACTTAATTCTACATTTGGTTTTGAAGTAAGATGGAGAATCTGAATAAGAGATGTAGCCTACTGCCTGGTACATAGAAATCATTCAGCAAATGTTCGCCATCACTGTGTTACTGTCATTGTTTAACTTAAAAGTCTGTGGAATAACTAATGTGCAAGCCATGACCTTTATAAACTGTATGATGCCAGTGAATTCAATGGTGCCTAATCCTTCCTTTCTGTTTGCCTTCTAAACTTTCAATACTTATAGTACTCGGCAAAGAAGTCGTCCTGGTTAGAATCTCGTTCTTGACACATGTTTCCACTGTCAGTAAACTTGGGTTCTCTGGGAGATAAGTCTTCCGGTTTGTCTTCTTTATTTGCATTAATTATACACTCTTCACTCTCTGGGGTTTCCTTTTCACAGCACTCTTTGATTTTGCTTGAGACGAAGTCTCCTTTTGAGCAAATATGGTTCATAACCTGGCTCTGCATCAAATAAGGACAAGGTAAATTT